CTACCTACCTACCTGTCTACCTATCCATCCATCTATTCATTCATTCATCTGTGAAATTCTTCCTCTAATAGTAAATAACTTTATTTGTTAAAGTATACTCAAAGAAGCTTCCCACTGGAAATATTGAGGTCTGTCTCTCAAAGCTTATTTTTATTTTAATACGTTTCTTTACAAATAAGTATTAAAGTCATTGAAATATAAAGTTCATTTTTTCATTAGTTCATTTAAAACACACCATACTTCGCCAAGACTGGTCAAAATTATTCTCAGGCATTGCATGCTACTAGCTGGAAGCCTTCTGTTGCCACTTAGAATGTATAACATCAAGTATGACTTTGCCTTTCTCAAGTAACCCAATAAAGCCACTTCTCAGGGTTATAAAACTAGAATACTTAAACAGGAAGCCTGAAATGTTTGAGAGTAGTTAGCTTTAAGAAAACAAATATTTGTGGATCACTTTCAGTAGAAGTTATTTGAAACCAGTAAGAGCCCAATGATGTACTTGCCTGAGAATTCCTTCATCATGTCTATTTTATATATAGAAAACTTTTTAAAATGTCATCCAAAACACTTCATTCATGAAAGTTTGTTTTTTTAATTTTTAAGCTTATAATAGAACTGTATCATTTCCCTTTCCTCCTTTGAAGTTTTAAATACTCCTTAGAAGCATCCAAATCAGGAGAACCTAAAATACTTACTAACTTTATGACTGTGAAAATGTCAAACCCATGCGCAAGTCTCTGAAATGTAGAAACAGCTTTTGGGGGATACTTTGTTTTGAGACAGGGTCCCCTATGTACACTAGAGTAACCTCAAACTCACAGATTCCCTGGTCTCGGCCTCCTGAATACTGGAATTATAAGCATGCACAGCCACACCTGGCCAAAGGTCATATTTAGATTCAGTAACAGAATGGAAAATCAGTCTAGGATTAACTTGAAATTAAGATTGATTACAGTTCACAGAAGCACAGTAAATCATGTCTTAGAACAAATTCACCCAAATTAGTTTTTTGCAAATCCTCACTATCTGTTCATGTTCCTTAAGGATAACTGCTCTGATTATTAGTAGATCTAAAGCTACTAATAATTAGTAGATCTAAAGACTATGGCTAACTTTAATTCATCCACGTCTCTGGTAAGTTTGTGGCAAGCAGGCCACAGAAGTCTGACCACTAAGACCTGGACACAGAAATGCCAAGTGTCTGAAGAAGTGGACCCAGCTAAAGTCCCTCCAGTTTATTACTGTTAGAGCACGTCACCATTACTCAACCATTTACGTTATCAAATGGTTTTCTGTTTCTTTGGGTCTTCATTTCTGAAAGCCTTAAGTCATGAAAAAGTCTTAAGTCATTAAGTAACTCTGCACACTTCTCTCTTGGTAATCTATCTTGTTAGAGAGGACTCAACCACGAGAATGCTAGGAAACCTGCAACTCTTCCTTCCTCTACTCTTTTTGGCACAAGAGCCAAGGACCAGTGCAGAGAGAGACAGAAAACCAGAACATGTATGCCACATTTATGTTCATGCTTAACACATGAAGGGAATGTTACTTTGCCAAGTAAGTGAAAAAATAAGTAAATAAAAGGAGTATGGCAATGTTGAATCTGATCACCTAGGCAGTCTCTTTGCTTTTGCTATACCAATAATCTTTATTTTTTTCAGTACTTTTTAAAATACTTATTAAAATCTACATATTTCTTTGTACTGTTTTTTAACTGATAACTTTCAATATAACTTTAATAGTTTCAAATTATTCCATCCTGTTACTTTAAAAGTGTTGATAACTTCTAGGAAATTATTTTTATGTTAAATATATTTAACATACAACACCACACTGATTTGTTGCTCACTATTATTTAGTGTTAGAAAAACATGAACAGGACCAGTGAGGGGTATAAATGCTGCCGAGCTTGATGTCCTCAGCTATCCTGGTTTTGTGTAACCCTGAATACCTTAGAACTCGATATGCAAACCAGAGTGGCCTCAAATTCATAGAAATCCTCCTGCCTCTGCTTCCTGAGTGCATGCACCATCACAGCAGCTTACAAAATGCCCTGTGATCTCCGTATGTGCACTACATGCAGCATGTACGTGACCGTACACCAACATGCACATGTACACATAAATAAAATGTACTTTATCACATTTTTAAACAATGAACACAATACTTGACAATCCTACACCATTCCTCCTCCCTGCACCCAGAACTTGATTCATTCCAATCTCCTAGTCAGTGGTTCTCAGGAGGCAGAGTAGGAGGTCAGTGGGGACTTGTCCTACCACAGCACAACAAGCAACTTAACTTTCCCTACACCCTGGTGACGTTTAGTGAGTGCCCAAGATGGTGCTAACCGTGCTCAAATAGGCAACAACAAAGAATGGCCTGACTCAAACTATCAATTGTCAACCATGGTGGCACTTGCCAACAGGAAGATGCTGACAAGGATGAAGCAGGATGACCACAAGTCCAATGCTAGCCTTAGGCTGGAAACAGATGAGAGGCCCTAGGTTCAACTTCCAGTGTTACAAATTAACAATAAAAAAGGTTTTAAAGGTCAAGCATGTTAATTTGAGGAATCTTATTCTAGAGTTTTAATTTTATACCCAAAAGTTCATTTTTCACAGTCTCGTTTCCGAATACAAAAATATTTATAACTGATAAAACTATAAATTTCCTGTTACATAAAAGCTTGTGTTAAAAATACTATCCTTAGCTGGGCAGTGGTGATGTACGCCTTTAGTCAATCCCAGCACTTGGGAGGCAGAGCCAGGCGGATCTCTGTGAGTTCAAGGCCAGCCTGGTCTACAGAGTGAGATCCAGGACAGGCACCAAAATTACAAAGAGCAACCCTGTCTCGAAAAACCAAAAAAAGAAAAAAAACAAACTATCTTTAGGGCAGGTAAAATAACTCAGATCATGCCACGAAAGCCTGAGTTCCATCTCTGTTTGTTTTTTTTGTTGTTTTTTTTTAAAGGTCTCTAATTCCAGCCCTCCTATGCAAAGATGTGATGTAAAGACAGGAAGACTCAGTTACCTGAAGATCAGGAGCCAGTTAGTCCTGAGTAAACAGCATGGCAGATGTAGCAAGAAAGACCATGGCTAAACAAGGTGGAAGGAGAGATCCAACTCACAAATTCAGAGAACATCTGACTCCTACATGTCTACTTTCAGGTGCGCGCACGCACACGCATGCATGCATGCTCACAAAATCAATAAATCAATAAAAAAAAAACCTTTAAAACAAATTTAAAAAGCAGTAGCTTCAGACTGAGTTATTTCAACTAGTATTAGTACATATTAATCTAAGCAATTGATTAAACAATTACTATCAAATACATTTAAACGTTTATAATGAGATGGGGAGGGCTTGCATTTATCTCTGTAATTGTTGCATCTGTGGAAAAATTTAACTAGGGTTAGAATCAAACAGAACTCCATTGAATGACATTTGTTTTCATTTCCGACCTGAGGAACCTTTACCACACAGGTGAGTCAGTGCTGTGCTAACCTTACTCAGGGTTACTTACTCAGCTGAGCTGCACCACAGTCTTAAAAATTACTTCTAGGGTTGGGGATTTAGCTCAGTGCTAGAGGGCTTGCCTAGCAAGCGCAAGGCCCTGGGTTCGGTCCTCAGCTCCGAATTTAAAAAAAAAAAAAAAAAAAAAAACTTCTAAATGTTGCTAAAAGGAAGGAATTTGAAACTGACTTGTAGCCGCTTCACTGTCCTTCCAGGCATTCCTTTCACAGTTCCTGGTGACGCACAGGGAACTCACAGCAGAGTCTACCTTGGGCCTTGCTCTGTGCAGAGCCTTTAAGGCGTTCTCAACATGAGACACTCGTGTGCCAGTGAGCACTGCCAGAGCCTCACCAGGCATTTATACTGATCAGGGATTTGGAAAACACCTGTAACTGCCTGTGTCTGCTGACTGGTCCACCATGAGAACTGAGCACAGATATCAAAACCTTGCCCTGACATCTACATCTTAGAAACAAAATCATATTTTGTCAAAATGAGATTCTCAAGAAAGAACACTCCAAGTATGCCTCAAGTTCTCTCCATTGCTCCCTTACCTCTTAGATACTCTGTACTGTGCTGTGGTCAATTTCCCCGTCTCAGGGTCATGTACTGTAGCTCGGCTCAGCTACAAAAAGAAAAAAAGAGAAAGGACAAAGGCTTACACTCCAGCAGGCCGTTTGGGCTTTGTTCACGCAGGTTGGTTTTGCCAAGCCACAGGTGATTGGAAGGATTCCGATTGGTCTGCATGGTGGGTAATGGTTCGAATCAGCAAAACATTCAGGAAGGTGGCAGAAGATCAGCCACTTCTGAGTCAGGAGGAAAATGGCTGACAGAATTTGATTGTCAATGTATTTATTGTCCTTTCACTTTTTTGAACTAAAATCATTTGAGGCTGTATGGAAATGATCTGCAGCAATGGGTTTCACAGGAACTTCCCCCAGGTCTAGAAGTTTAATGTTCTTCAAATAGAGTTTCAAAAGTATTCTACATGAGATCATCATTTTAAAACTTTCATCAAGACAAAACTGTTTTCAGTCTCTCTGCATCACTCAGATCAACAGAGATCACAAGTCGTTTGGAAGACTGAACTGCTCTTTCCACAGGCAACTTTTGAGCTAGTGACTTTTTTTTTAAAGATTTATTTATTTATTATGTATACAGTGTTCTGCCTGCATATGTCCCTGCAGGCCAGAAGAGGGCACCAGATCTCATAACAGATGGCTGTGAGCCACCATGTGGTTGCTGGGAATTGAACTCAGGACCTCTGAAAGAGCAGCCAGTGCTCTTAACCCCTGAGCCATCTCTCCAGCCCCGACTTTTTTTGTTTTAAATGAAAAACTCCAGTAAGAACAGATGACTCCACAATGACCATGGCAGATTAGAGTGGACAATCACCACAGAAGAGGGTGTGAGGCACTGTAGTCCTCTACCCAGATTAACCCATGGCTTCTTTTTCTTTATTTCCCACTCTCACAACAGAGGGAAACAGAAAAGGACCAGGCAATTTCCTGGGTGTTTAATACCTGATCTTAAAATACAGAGCACTTGATTCCTGAGACATGAGACCAAACAGGTAAAAACAGAACTTCTAGTTAAAGGGAGCCTGTGAAACACAAAGCATGCATTCATGCATCACTCTTTATATGTGGAAGGCGGCCACTTGAGCTGGAGACTGGAAATGACCTACTTCTATAAATGATAAGACTTCTGGTAGGATGTTCAAATACTCTAGGAGGAAAAATATGCAGCATATATCTCTTACCTTTTGCTAATTCTGTAATGTACCGTCTCCAAGTCTCCTGTTATTGGGTTTGAAATGGTGGCTCGCCTCAGCTGTGAAGCCAACCATCAAAATAGTTGCATTACAAGACAAAAAATGAATCACATTTACCTAACCAGTCAGATCTCTCGGTTTTCTTTTTTTTCTTTAAACAAGAGGATGAATAGAGAAAATAACTCAATACCCTTCCAATCACCTTGTGTTGAGCCTTGAAAGCCATTTAGTTTTTTTGGTGTGTTTCTTAAAAATTATTTTACTTGCTTTTGTACTACATGAATACAGGCCACATAAATAGAAAAGACTGGAAATTAAATTTCTTCAATAGTTAGAGAATGTGATAAGAAAAATTCCTAAAATGTGAAGTACAACTTATAGCTGTAAGAATGGCTGTTTAAACAGTGCAGGGTGGTGGCGCACCCCTTTAATCCCAGCACTCGGGAGGCAGAGGCAGGTGGATCTCTGTGAGTTCAAGGCCAGCTTGGCCTACAGAGCGAGTTCTAGGATAGACAGGGCTACAGAGAGAAACCCTGTCTGGCAAAACAAAAAACAAAACAAAACAAAAGGCTATTTGTAATTAATCGTCTACTCTAAAACCTCCGATTGTAACTCAATGAGACATGTTCACAAAGGTTAATATTGTCTAAAGTGTGTTTTAAGGTCGTTTATCTTTTCAGGAGATGGTATGTGCTCAGTAACAGACGCAGCACATCAGCCTTTCTGCAGGAGGTAGAAGAGCAGCGGCTGGGCTGAACGATGACAGCAGGACAACCATTTAGACTCTGACACACAGCAGGACAACCATTTAGACTCTGAAACGGGAGAGGGACTCCGCAACAACAGACAATTAACCAGCAGTCCCCAAAACAACCCCAACTAAAGGATTTCCTTTGGAGACTTAGGCCTTGCATCTCAAAAGTGAATTCTTCACAAATATTCTACCAAGGAATACTGGTAAACTGGGTCTGACTAAAATAAAGGAGTGAATGAGGAATTCAAGCAAGAATGAGGAAATATGGAGTCACAGTAAGAGATGATTTTCAAGAATGTCCCTGGACAGCCCCCAGATGCACCACATCAAATCTGCATCTGCAGTGCCATCTTTTTTTTTCTTTTTTTTTTTTGGTAAAACCAAAAAGTTTACGTTTGGAAAAATAATAAAACTTTAAAAACTTCAAGTTTGTATGGGCAGCACAAGTTGGACTTGTGGGGTTTTGTTTTTCTTTTTTGGGGGGGGCTACAAGGGTGGGGGACATCTGAGAGGACTGGGTGCATGATGTGAAGTTCCCAAATAATCAATAAAAATATTATGTTTAAAAAATTTAGAAAAAATAAAAAAATTCAAGTTTATCTAATCTAAGTACATATCCACAGAGCCAGGAAGCCCAGCAGCCAAATCAGCTGCCACCAGCTTTTAGAAGTAAAGACTTGAGTGTACCATAACCACTGCACTCATTCACATGCTCTCTTTGGTTATTTTTACACCAGATGGCAGAGCGGAGTAGATAGGACAGAGACCACACAGCTGACAAATCCCAAAAAACACTTACTACCTTGACTTTTATAGAAATGTGTCAACCCCTACATATTACAAAGAAATAATAATCAGAATTTATTTAATAACTCTACAAAAGCTTTCATTTTATTATTAATCAAATGTGCTGTTTTAAAGAACAAAATGATCAAAAAGGGCAAGGACAGAGGGATAGTCTCCACGTTCTCACACAAAGACAAGCTTCTGTGACCAACACTACACGTGTAGAGTTAGGTGTAACTCACGTTCGACTGCTCTTCTTATTAAGATAGATTAAAGAGGCTGGAGAGATGGCCCAGCAGTTCTTCAGAGCACTTTGTTGCTCTTGCAGAGGACTGAGGTTTGATTCCCTGCACCCACGTGGCAGAACACAACCATCTGTAACTCCAGTTCCAGAGGATCTGACACCCTCTAGCCTCTATAGGCACAGCATGCACATGGTACACGGACACACATGCAAACAAAACACCCATATCCATAAAAGAAGATTTTAAAAAATGATACAAACTAAAATTAGGAATCTATAATACTATTTTAAAATTAGCAAGATTCCTATAAAAATATACTTTGTATGAAAAGTTTGACTTTGAGTGGTACTGAAGGCTACAAAATATGTAGAAAGGTCTTCCGGTAAGACAGCAAACACATTTCTCATGTATGAAGAGAAATCTATGGTTTTCATTACTTACTGTTTAAAGCCCAGCCATAGGATGTGTTAGTTGTGCTGATAACAAACTGAGACAACTAGTATAAACCGTAACTTAACACCATTAATTTGAGGCAACAACACTTAAGACCATCTGAAGTTATGGCCACCTTAGTTAACCTTCCTGTCACCTTGCAAAGAAAAGATTATCACAAACATTCAGTCAACTGAGAAGAAAAAAAGTTACCCTTGGTTTTGCTAAGTCTTTGACAGTTTCAATTTCCGCATCAGAAATAATATCATGGAAACGAATAATACGAGGTTTGTCCCACTCATCCTCTTGTTTGGCTGGAGCCAGAATAAATTTAGGATTCCGGTTTCCATCGTGGTAGCGACAGAACAGCTTTTTTTGTCTCCGAGGAGTCTAAATAGAAAGAAAGTAAAAAATATATTAGAACAATATCTTGCTGTCTATTCCTCTATGGGTTAGAAACAATAATTATGTTTGCACACACATACACAGATGATCTCTGGAATAGCACACAAAGCAGCAGTATCCTGTAAATGTTTTGCATCAACCAAACATTTAGGCTCTTTAAAATGTTATTAATGATTCATAGGGTTAGTGGGTGCAGCTTGGTGGCAGAGTGGTTACCTGGCATATGAAAAGCACTGGGTTCAATCCCTAGCACTGAAAAATATAAAAGATTATTTTCTGGAGAAGAGGGAGGCTTCGAATAAGAAAAAAAGATAATGTTTCTTATTTCCATCATTCTCTTATCAAATAAATTTTAGGTATCGTAAACATCAAGTAACATTTAAATGCTTATTTAAAAGAAAAAAAAAAAAGTATGTCCAGCATTGCTCCAAAATCCAAAGTAACCAGGAAGCACCTAGAAAAATGCAGTTTCAAGAAGGGGGGATAAAAACATAAAAATAACTAAACTAAATGAAATATTCATAATTATTTCACAGTTAAAAGCTTGTGGTAAAAATAGCAGTTATGATAACATTGTGTGTGTGTGTGTGTGTGTGTGTGATTTTTAACATGTATGTATGTGTGTATGTGCATGTGAGTGCAGTGCTCATAAAAGTCTGAAGAGTGTGTTGGTCAACTCTCCTGGAGTTACAGGTGGTTCTGTGTCACCTGTCATGGGTACTGGGACCACACTCAAGTCCCTGGAAGAGCAGCAAGCACTCAGCCACTAAAATCTCTTCAGCCCCAGTAATAGTATATTCTTAACAGCAAGTGAAAATGAGTACTTATAAAAAGAGGAAGTAAATTCTTAAAGAAATCAGGCACTTGTATTATTGAGAATGAGAACAGACAACAAAGCAAATAAATGTTTCCTTCAATCATCTATGCACATACAATAATGAAGTAAGCTATTGTTTTATTATAAAGGCAAGGTCCCTCATACTCCAGGCTGACTTCAAACTCAAAAACCATTTGCCTCAGTCTCTTGGATGTTTGAGTGATGGTTTTACACCCATGTGCCACCATAATAAGCTTCTGGATTCTTATCTTAAACATATATGTCACATATGACATTTAACTGTTAGATAACAAATAATTTTTCTCCATGTACTTCAAGAGTCAAATCCAAGGCTTTACATCCAATCAATCTTTTATAGTGATGAATTTAACAATTTGAAAAAGGGATGCTTCTCTGACTATGGGCAGAGCTGACATTCATGAGGCATACTAACAAATGTAAATTAGCAGGATTCTATATGTGTTCATAATTCCCCTTTGCTGGCTTAATCAAAGTTACTAAGGACTGGGAATGTAGTTCAGTTGGCAGAGTGCTTGCCTAGCATGCACAAAGCCCTTCTAAGTTGAATCCCTAGCAATGTATTAACTGGGCGTGGGCATAAATGCAGAAGGACCAGGTCAAAATTCCATAGTGAGTAAGATACAGAGTTACAAGCCAATAGTCTGTGATGTAGAAGATCCTGTTTCTAAAACAAGTTCAGACAGTTCACCATGGAAATTTGAAAACTAACTAGACATTTGATATTATTATGTAACTTCTATAAATCTGTAATGATACTGGCCTCTTGTGATTTTGAGTTCTTAATGCCTTTAAAAGGAGGAAAGATTAATTTAGGCTCATGGGCTCAGAGATTTTAGTCCATAATCCATACCACTCACTGCATCCTTTGGGCCCATGGCAAAGCAGGACACCTTGGAGAGAGTATGTGGTGCTTACCCCACAACCTGTGGCATTTTATCAGCAATACAAAGGTGCCTAACACACACACACACACATACACACACACACACACACACACACACACACACACACACACACACACACACACGTATTAGAAATGAAATGAACAAAGCAGCTCCAGGAATCTAACAAAGTCTTCTATTCTTGCCTTGCTCATTAGCTCCCAAAGCAAAAGCAAAAAATTGTTGCTAGGGATCTGTGAACCTGTCCATAATGATGCAATGTACACATATGTGGTTAGCGATTAGACTGTTAGCACTCTTCAATGCCAAAATAGGAAGCCTAGCTTTACTTTCTTAGTAGAGATAGAGAATTTAAACATTTTTTTCAAGCGTTTACACTTAGAAATGCTTACTCTAAAAACTCACTAACAATGTATGTCTGCACCACAGAACAGTTTTAAAGAAGGTTCCATAATCAATTCATTTGGGGAAATAATGTGTAACATATGCATAGTGATACATTTTCATCCATAGTAAGGCAATAGAGCACACTATTTTGTTCAGTCATTCTGATTTTTATCTCATCTCTAGCACTATGTACAAGCACATACACATTCACACACACACAATTGACTATTTCCACTTTACCATTTTGATACCCTCCCCACGGCACAGCATTTCGTACTTCTGTCTTTCTGGCAGGTAATCCACAGCAATCCCTTTTTTCCTTGGTGTAGTTTTCTGATCAGATTGGCCATCTGAAGCAGACTTATTGGTATCTTTTTCTTTAGTCATAATATACTCAAAATATCTTAAGTTACCATTAGCTCTCTGATGTTCAGGATCTATTAAAGAGAGAGAGTATACATGGTCAAGTTTCCAGTTGTCCAATCATCAGAAAACAGGAACAAAAACACAGGGATCTAAAGTTTATCTTCTTAACTAAGATGCTTTTGAGAAAGAAGGCACTAATATAAGTTATTAGTGCCAAAACAAGATGTAAACTAGTCAATCAGGAGAGACCTGCCCTGTACAGAAACAGCTCTGGCGACAGAGCAGTTTTGTATCTTTAGGCAACAATTATTGCTTCTACTTTGAGAACTTTACTGATCAGCCCCCAAACAATGTTTAATTTGATGTCAAATGACACTTTAGAGTCTTACTCAGCTGGGCACAGTGGCGCACACCTTTAATCCCAGCACTTAGGAGGCAGAGGCAGGAGGATATCTTGAGTTCGAGGCCAGCCTGGTCTACAGAGCGAGTTCCAGGACAGCCAGGGCTACACGGAGAAACCCTGTCACAGTCTTTCTCATCCATGTATTTTAAGTAAGGGAAAGATCATTTTGTGGCTACAAAGTAATCACTATGGTAAAGACAAAGTAGACCCACTTCTAACTAATATTCACCACAGACAAATGCAGACCAGTTTACATCTGAGGGCTGAGTAGACTTCAGCTCTAAATTTCTAAGTAAGAAAGAAAAAGGAAACTGAAGAGATATAATTTTCAAACATGCCAAAATTCACTAACTGCCCCAGAAATTGCTAGTGATAATTTTTAGCTACTTTCTATTCAGGAAAAACCAATCCAAACAACCACAGAGACAGAAATAAAAAGAACAGGAAGTAGATGCATCACTTGTGGTGTTAATCAAAGCGTTGTTTGTAAAGTATTTTAGTTCTTCTGAAACAGATCACAATGTATGTTATGGTATACAATAAAAGAGAAAAGTGTGTGGAGAGGGAATATATATTACATGGGAAAAAGTTGATTCTTTTTCTCTACTAATACATTTTCTACATGGAATACAAAGTATACTTTATAATTTATTTATTTTTATTTTATTTG